CCCCTCGTCGCACCGCGCGTAAGAAGGGCTCTGGGTACGAGAATGAACAACCATGAAAGGCCGTTGAGGTCGACTTACGGATGGGATCAAATGAAAGTGACAGAAAGAATTACAGCAGTTGGCAGTTGTTTTTGCAAACGGGCACCCTGTGAATTTTGCCATTTGTCCTGTTTCTTTTGCCAAATCAAAGGAACTAACGCGTGCTCCAGCCCGATTTCCGGTTCTGAAAGGCCCGATTCTCAGGCAAACAGTGCGCGCAAAGCAGGCTGGTCATTTTCCATTGTTTAACTGCCCCACACTGAAATGTGTTAAAAACCCGTGAGTCAAAAATGACTGGGTTTTTTTTGGAATATAATCTCATATGATCTTCGCTGTTCTCGTAATCAAACAGCTTTTTAAATTTTTTTTTTCTGTGTTGGTGTAGTGTACTCAGGTGAATATGATATTCGTGGTGTTACTCTGAGTGTATATCCACACCGGGCGAGCTTGAAAAATATGCCCGGCCACGGTGGGATTCGAACCTACGACCTTTGGAATACTAGCCCAATGCTCTTCCAACTGAGCTACGCGGTCAGGACGGTTCGAGTAAGTGATATTTCGGAACAGAATCTAGTTCTTTCGATACCAATGTGTTCTAGTAATATGAATAGGCATATTTTTCAAGCTCGCCCGGTGTGGATATACACTCAGAGTAACACCACAAATAGCTTTTTAAAAAGCTATGCAAACCAAGCATGAGCCCTGGACAGAGAGGGGTGATTGACTCACGGTGGTCTTTGTGGTTACTTGAGTGTGGTGTGAGTGTGGGGCAGTTAAACAATGGGAAACGACCAGCCTGCTTTGCGCGCACTGTTTGCCTGCGAATCGGGCCTTTCAGAACCGGAAATCGGGCTGGAGCACGCGTTCGTTCTTTTTATTTGGCAAAATAAGCACGACAAATGAGTGAAATGGCAAAATTCGCACGGTGCCCGGTGTGTAAAACTGTAACTGCAAACTGCTCTAATTCTTCTGTCACTTTCATTTGTTCTATTCCTTGAGTTTGATTTTCATATTAACCCATTAAGCGCTCTCCCCTTGACGAGTAAAATGGTCTGGCGTTAGACAGAGTAAAATGCTAAAGTAGGATGCATCAGGGTGCAATGCGACTCAATCGGTTAACTAGACACATGGGCAGATAGGCCAGTTAACCCATTAAGCGCCAGCGCTCTCCCCTTGACGAGTAAAGTCGTCTGGCGTTAGACAGAGTAAAATGCTAAAGTAGGGTGCATCTGGGTGCAATGCCACTCAATGAGTTAAAGAAGATTGCTTGCGAAGAACAAAACAAGAAGAAAATTATTGCGTACTGCAGTGATTATCTTGATGGCCACTGGCACTGTTATCTTGAGAAAAATAGAAAGAAATCACACTCTTGTTGAACCTCCATTTTGAATATTTTGGTGTGATCTTATTGATAGACTAAGCTCGTCTTATTGGTTAATGATGTGGAAGTCAAATCTGAACCTTTGTATGTAGACCCTTTTACACTTGATTTTTAGTGCAAAGTTGCTTTGCGTGCACTATTGCTATGAGAAAAATTCAATCCAGTAACCGGTCAATGGATCGATCGATCGAGTAAGCAGACCGGGGGAAGCTTGCAAATGATTTTTTATTACGTTTTCGTTTATTACTGTTTACAGATTGTAAAAAAATTATATTCATGATGGTACATATTCTTACTTATTTTATCCAACATTTAGAAAAGTTATAACCGATTACTGTTACATTTCAAGCTTTTGTTTTTATATGATTTGCCGCCCCCCCCCCCCCCCTCCCTGCAACATAAAATAAATTAATAAATACACGTGCTCTCATAATTTCATTTTACAATGGCGGGCATGGACGAGCGGGGGGACTACAGTATTGAGCGGCGATGTGCCGAAATCGTGTAGACTATAGAGTGTATTATACAACTGAGGTTGACAGTATTATTATGAGAAAATCTTTGAGATTCTACCCATTATATAAATTGCTTTTATGCATTACGGGCATGTAATTTAGTGCCGATATAATGTTGACGGTGTATTCATTATACAGAGCTAGGAAGGAGCGAGACAGTGTTATTTTCAAATGTATATGAACATTTCAGATGTGAATAGTGGGCGAATCTTTGAGATTCTACGCAGTATACAAATTGATGTTATGCATGTTATTGGTGCTACAGTACACCACTGAATAGATGGTCATAGATGGCTATACTCAGACACTCAATACACTGAAACTACAGAAACCTGTAGTATACTGTGCTGAATTGCTGAAACTACACATACAGCACGTCCGTGGCTCGCGTGCGTGTTTGGCTCTCTAAATATAGAAATGATTATAGGGTTCAGAGGACATGGTGAAAAAGACGGATTTCGGAGTATGGAGTGCGGAATACGGAGTCTTTCAAAACAGTTTATGAGACTCCGCGTTTTCCACTTTTTGCCCCCATACACTTGCAGTGTCTTTCTCAATTTGAAACTTTGTACTATCCTTGGATCCCTAGTTTCTGTGTTGGTGTTACAGTATGTAATCAGGTGAATATGATGCTTGTTATTTTACTCTGAGTGTATGTCCACACCGGGCAACCTTGAGAAATATGCCTGGCCACGGTGGGAATCGAACCTACGACCTTTGGAATGCTAGCCCAATGCTCTGCCAACTGAGCTACGCGGTCAGGTCGGTTCGAGTATGTGATAATTCGGAACTGAGTCTAGTCCCTTCGATATCAATGCAATCTAGTAGTAGTAATCATGATTTTTTTCTGTGTGTTGGTGTTATGTACTCAGGTGAATATGATGCTTGTGATGTTACTCTGAGTGTGTATCCACACCGGGCAAGCTTGAAAAATATGCCTAGATGATTGCACATACTTGATTGATTGCACATACTTGAAAGTTCACAAAATATACTTGAAAGTTCACAAAATATCAAAGATTTCAATTGCATGCATGCAGACGCTCTTTAAAGATTCATTCGAACATTTATAATATACATGACACATGGTACTTCAAATATTGTAGTGACACATTGATACACGGAGACGCCGGAGCCACGAGAGCAGCTGTCCCCGTTGCCCAAACAAGGAGGTTGCCATTTTTAAAAGAACTACACACTTCGAAAGTCATGAAAACCATGATGTTTAATATTTATTATTAATGATACTTTATTTTTTCCTATGCATGCCCATTAAACCTAAAATCGTTTTGGCGTTCTCTCAAAATTACTTTATTTTGTAGTTTAAAAATGTAGTTAGCAACCTTTTTATAATTAATGTATCTGGCTGTTGAGAAACCGTGACAAAACAATAGTTAAATATTGTCAATTTAAGTATAGTTAATCATGCGATGGCGAGTACAATTAGGGATTAATAGTACGAGTGATATGATGTTTGGAAATTTTGCCAGAATTGGACGAGCCACCGGGGCGAGTCCAATTTGGCAAATTTCCAAACATCACGAGTACTATTAATCCCTAATTGTACGAGCAACATCGCATGATTATTTGTTTATTATTAGCATGACAAAATTGGATACGTACTTCTCAATGTCAACATCATATTCTCTCGCCAAATCCCAGTTCTGCCACACTTTCAACCAAAATTTGGTGCTTTTGTTTGTATTTTCATTTAGTTCTTTTGTTCAAGCAAAATTTGGTGCTTTGTTCGTATTTTCATCTAGTTCCTCTGGGGCAATTTCATTTCACGCTTGTGTTTAAAATACCTTTCCGCCATTTTGTTTGTTTTGGGAAAATCATTGTAAGTTTGTCATGCTAATAATAAATGCACTTATCATTGATGCTGTAACATTGACGCCATGTTTATACAGCAATATAAGCAAAACTGACTTACTGAACTTCAGATATCATTTTTTCTTTGGCGTACCATCTTAAATCTCTTCAGTTTTATAATAATTTCACAGATAAAGCACTATAAAGATACCATTGAAGTTTATTTGCCGCTTGAGAAATGTATCAAAAATTTAAAAATTGAATATACCAGTCATAACCAAATGGAAAAGTACATTGAAGAAAAGTTTTGAGCTCGTGTTATAGCTCCGTATAGCATACAAAAGATTCACCTCTTATAATATTTACCATTAATGGTACTTTATATTTTTTTTCTGTGCCCATTAATGGAAAATGGAAATTTTTTTCTGTGAAAGTTGTTCCAATCAATGTCGAAACTTGTCCAAGTATATTGGCTGCAAGTATTGCGAGTATCCATAAAGCAAAATTTTGAGAAACGTTGCAGCCCACAAACATTAAGGCTCAGATGTATAAGTGTCCTTTTCAAATGACTGCCCCCGCGGTACTAACGTTGCTTCCGCTGTCCCTGCATGTATAATTGCTACGTGATGTCCAGATAATCGAAGTACATATACATACGTACAAACATGCATACATTGCATGCATACATAATTATGACAAAGACTTTATTTTAACACGCTATGCCTATAGCCTCAACAACTGCAAGCTGGTTTTGATGAGGGGCGTGTAAATGGGTGAATATTTACAGTACAACATGATATTATAGGGAGGATATACTCTCTACATGACACAACAAGAAGGCAAAAGTCTAGATAGAAATAAACGAGACGACTTCAACTTATTGTTTGTTTCAGAATTGTTTTAAGCCCTTAGAGACCGGATACCGTTCAGTTGTCACACATGTCCTTTACCACTTCTGTGCCATGAGTTTGAGAACAGCTTGTGCAATTTTCTGCAGTCCATAAAGTTTTATGTTGTAATGTCTTTGGAGACACCATAATGCATTTGCTTCCGATTGATTTACATACTGCATTGACACATGCATGACTGTGTTGAGTGTTGACATTGCTTTTTAGTCTTCAATATTTGCGTGAGTCATGCTTTGGAAATGACAATAAATTTTGTATTACCAGTCCCTTATGAATGCAGTGATTTCACTCATTTTTTGCCTCATAAGGAAGATTGTTCCACAGCACTCGGCACCACTGTGGCCGAAGCACCTTTTGCCAAATTCTTTCTTCGGCTTATAGGAAGTGCTAAATCAATTTCTAGCTCAGGTTGTATGTGTTCCCTGTTTCATTATTTAGTCGAAAAGTGTATATTATAGCGAGTGACTTAAAAGGCCGAGAACGAATTCCTGTGATAAAAATTATGCCTCTGCACATAAAAATTTAAACATTTTTAGCACAATAATAATATAACGTTTGTTGTAACTTTTTGAACGTTTTGTTTTCATGAAATATACTTGTATATGGCTGATAGCCTGAAATGGCTTGTCGTATTGTGGAACAGACATAAGTTATACTTATGCATATATATATATATATATATATATATATATATATATATATATATATATATATATATATATATATATATATATATATATATATATATATATATATATATATAT